CGCTTTTAACTTAACTTAACTTTATTCCATCGTACATGTAGGTACAAAATATCAGTAAAGCCAAAGGGGCTTACGGCCTGTGGTAAGAATGACAGAAATTATATTTTACAGAAAAGAAGGCTGTAGGCTAAATTACAAATACTAAATTAAAGAAGATACAAAACAATGATTAAGAAAGTTTACATGCCCACAGTCCTATAAACGATACAAAACTAGTGAAAAATAAACTAACAATAAACCTGTGAGAATCCCTCGCTAATTCCGTCAGGCTTAAAAAGTTAAAAGTTTTAAGTTCTTTTTAAAGTTGGGTGTAGCAAGGTTGTTACGCACAAACTATCAATCTGAATTCTCGGTATGTGCCCCTAAGCGACACAGCTTTGACTGACGAATTGAATAACCACGGAAAACGGCTTTTAGAAACATGTAGGAATGCAGATCTAAAGATTATGAATGGTAGATATCGTGGTGATTCGCTGGGAAAACCAACATGATTTCATGGTAAATCAAGAGTTAGTATTATTGATTATGCAATATGCGACCAAGACCTATTCCACTCTATCGCGAATTTCATTGTTTATGAGCCATCTAGTTTATCAGATTACTGTCCAATAATGACACGGCTTAACATTAATACGGTAAAAAATCACTTAGCTACAGAAAACACCAATGACACATCAATTCGTTTACCCAAACAGTTTATATGTGAAAATGATTCATCACAAAAACTTCAATCAGCACTTCAAACAAGAGCCATACAGAGAACGATACATGATTTTCTTGTTGATAGTAGGCCAGAAAAACACATTAATTCTTGTCACGACGCAGTAGAAAGGATTCTTTTTACAACCGCAAAACATTGTTTAAAAATTAAGAACATTAAAAACACTTGTATTCTGGGTTGAACGTATACTCAAGGGAGGGTTTAAGGGTGGTCCCAGGGGGACCCGGCCCCCTCTCCCCCTTTTGTCCTTGGATTTTTTTGTCTTCTGTAAACGTATGTCACATTGCACTTCGAGCTTTGTTATTTAAATATATTATCGTTAATAAACATTGTTAATAAGAAAAGAATCGATTTATGGCAGTTTTACGGGTTGTACTGTGCAAACCGGTTCCAATAACACCCAGAAGAAAGTTAACACACAACTTAAGCAAGGTTAGCCGATTTTTATTTAAATCCTTTTACATTCGTAGGCTACAGAAACAATTGTTATTCTTCCATAAAAATCCTTATATTTTGAACGTTACACAACAGTGCCGATGGTCATATTTCGAGCTTGGGTCACCTGTGCTTAAACCAGCCCCTTTAACAATTCGCACCAAGAAGCGATTATCGATGAGTTGAAAAGATTAGAAGACGCAACAACACATTCAACCGCATTCCTTGGACTACCCAATAACTGAACTCGAAATACGCACAGCGGCTAACAAACTCAAAAACGACAAATCTTCGTATTCCAAAAGAATTAAAAATGAAATGAACAAATCCAACTTAAACGAACTAATGCTGTTTGTTTGCGGTTATTCAATAAGTTGTTGAGCCTTCTAGAAGACGGGCATTTAACTCTACCCAACTAAGGATCTACAAACCAATGAAAAACTAAAACGCTGCATAAAAAACCCAAACAGGAACTTCAACGAGACTAATGTACCAACGTCAGCTCTAACATCACAAACACGACCACCTATAAAAACTAACATCTGACAATGGCAAGCGAAAAATATTCTTAAAATGGCATTAAGTAAACTCGTAAGCTAAGCAAAAATTCAAGTCACTTCAATGAAAACAGAAAAACACCTATGTGGAAAAATCAAGACTAATCTTAACTCGCTTAATGAAAAAAAAAACGAAACTTAAAATAAAAAAAAACAAATCTTAAAAATAACTTTCAAAATACTTCACAACAGTATTCTCTTTACTATTACTGTCATTAGGTCATTTGAATGTTTAACGGTGACATGCAGTTTCCTACGTATTGATCAGAACAATGAATCTATGCATTAATGTATGGGGTTACACGGAAATCTTGTCCTATAAATATTCCAGGTACCAATCGAATCGACTTTTTTCATTTCAAATATAGTTGTTTATATTACTCTTTCTCTATTCGGTGTTCTATCAATGGCAATAAAGTTCATTCTTTATCTCTCATTCAAAAAATATGTCTCTCATTCAAGAGATGTGTCTAAGTGGTTATTGTTTTATTGAACAGTATACATTTAAAGGTATGTCCCATGAGCTTTCCCCGCAAGTAGAGTCCCTTGATATGCAAATGTAGATCAGAATCAGTGTTTATGCAAGCCTCCTTTTTGCGCGTAAATAGTGTTTAATTAACTACAAACCGAGGATCAAGTGGCCAAAAGCTAAGAGGTGAGTTTTTCTGAGTTCCACGCTTTTAACCTAACTTAACTTTATTCCATCGTTCATATAGGTACAAAATATCAGTAGAGCCAAAAGGGCTTATACGGCCTGTGGTCAGATCAGAATGACAGAAATTATATTATATAAAAAAGAAGACTGCAGGCTAAATTACAAATACTAAATTAAACAAGATACAAAACAAAGGTTATAAAGAAATTTTACATGCCCGCAGTCCTATAAAAGATTCAAAACTAGTGAAAACAATAAGCCTATGAGTAACCTGCGCTAATTCAATTCAGGCTTAAAAAGTAAAATTTTAAGTTCTTTCTAAAGTTATTGGTAGTAAGGTTGTTACGTACAGTCAACGGGGTATCATTCCAAATTTCAACTCCAGAACTGGTAAATACCCAGACAATTCTGTCAAGAAGGCAACACCATTATAACAAACGATCAATCTGAATTCTCGGTATGTGCCCCTAAGCGACACACCTTTGATTACGAATTGAATAACCACTGAAAACGGCTTTTAAATGCAGGAATGTAGATCTAAAGATTATGAATGGTAGATATCGTGGTGATTCGCTAGGTAGACCAACATTTCATGGTAAATCAGGAGTTAGTGTTATTGACTATGCAATATGCGACCAAGACTTATTCCACTCTATCGCCGCGAATTTCATTGTTAAAGATCTAGAGCCATCTAGTTTATCAGATCACAGTCCAATAAAGCTAATAACATTAATACGGTAAAAAATCACTTAGCAACAGAAAACACCAATGACACATTAATTCGTTTACCCAAACAGTTTATATGAGAAAATGATTCATCACAAAAACTTAAAACAGCACTTGAAACAAGAGACACAGAGAACATGCTTTTCTTGTTGATAGTAGGCCAGTCAAACACATTAATTCTTGTCACGACGCAGTAGAAAGGATTCTTTGTACAACCGCAAAACATTGTTTAAAAATTAAGAACATTAAAAACACTTGTATTAAACGAAATTCTCTCGGGAGGATTTAGGGGTGGTCCCAGGGGGGGGGCCGGTCCCCCCTCCCCCTTTTGTTCTTGGATTTTTTTGTCTTTTGTTAACGTATGTGGAATGGTACTTCGAGCTTTGTTATTTGAATATATAATATCTTTAATAAACATTGTTAATAAGAGAAGAATCTGTGTTCGAAGCCTACATTCTTAGTCGTAACTGTCCAAAGCTCCCAGAATACAGTAAATATCCGTCTCAAACAAACTGGATTTGACAATTTTTCAGGGAGACAATGCTGCCGCCTTTGCCGGGTAGTTGTGCTCTCGCCGCAATCGCTTCGGCCCCTACTAGCATCATAAAGTGTTAATTACTTATTTGATCACAACCACACTTTTGTTTTACTAAATATTTCAGCAGTTATATGTTTAATATGGAATCCGAGCTTTGGCAAAATTTAAGTGTTCAGAATGCACTAGATTGCATCTCAGAGAACTTCAACTTCAAAAATTTTCCCGGAGGAGCATGCGCTTGAAACTCCCCAGAAAAATGCGCCGTTCGCAGTCCTGATGGGCGTTATCGCGCCCATATTGTCAAGAATGTATATTTATTTCTCTAGGCCCCCTCTATCACAAAATCCTCCGTCCGCCCCTGATAATAGATTATCTTCTGTTTCTTCAAACAGAAGATGGTTTGATAAGAAATGTCGTCTTAAGAGACACGAATTGAGGAAACTTGCAAATCTAAAACACAGAGATCCTCTCAATATTACGCTTCGGGAAAAATATCACACGTCTTAAAACAGTACAAAAACGTTCTGAAACAAAAGAGAAAAGAATACCGTCATACTAAGATTTCGGAACTGGAAAACATGGTAGATAACTCAGACCGCCGACGTTTTTGGAACTGCTTAAAATCGAAGGATGATTCTATGAAGGAAACTAGTACCCTGCCAATCTCAGAAGAAAGTTGGTTGTCTCACTTCCGGTCACTACCGCTCAAACCACAGGTAGCGCAAGCCAACCTCGTTCCCAGGACCCTGGGAACGAGGTTGAGCGCAAGTTCGAAATATGAGCATTTGCGAGCATCGGCATTGTTGCCTAATATTCGAATTATGACAACAACAAAAATAGACATCTGACAATTTGCAAGCGAAGAATATTCCTAAAATGGCATTAAGTAAACTCGCTAGCTAAGCAAAAATTCAAGTCACTTGATGATTAAAAGCAAACTTTAAGATGAAAACAGAAAAACACCCATGTGGAAAAATCAAGACTAACCTTAACTCACGTAGTTAAAAAAACGAAACTTAAAATAAAATACAAATCTTAAAAATAACTTTCAAAATACTTCACAACAGTATTACCCTTTACTATAATTACAGTCATTAGGTCATGTGAAAGTTTAACGGTGACTTACAGTTTCCTACGTCCTCATCAGAAGTTAAAGTTCTCCGGTTGAAATATTAGTATTACCCTGGTCCCTGAGGTTTTTCTTGAAATGTTTCTCTTTCTCACGTGGAATAAAATTTCTGAGAGCAGTATACGTTAGTACTTAGATGATTAAGCATACTGACTTTATTTTACGGATACATTTGCCTTAGAAATGATTTCGGCAAACACGCCGGAAATTTAATTTATTATTCTTTTTTTCTTTTAGTGTCAATAGGGTCTGCTAGTACCAACTGTGAAGTTTTCAACATGCCAGCCAATCCTTCTTGTGGAATTCCAGTTGTAGACTTTAGCGCAATGAGTCTAGACGTCAAGGATCCAGATCTAAGCAGCCAAGCTGTTAAAGACCTTGCTAATCAAGTGTACCAAGCTTTCAGCACAACTGGAGTCGTTTATTTTACAAACTATGGAATCCCACAAGAAACGGCAAGTCTATCCTATTCTAATCAATGGAGCAGATCCAGGGGAGGGGCCTGGGGGGTCCGGTACCCCCTCGTTAGTTTTAAAAAATCTTTTGAGACCGCCCTCATCACCCCCGTTATCTGAAGGTCTGGATCAACCACTGCTAATCACTTCTTGTAAGAACTATAGAGTGGATCGGAACCAATTTATACTTCACAGTCGTGTCTCTGAGAGATTCTAAGGAAATTCGATTCACATTCAGCTAAAGAAATTATAGGTCAAAATTCGCCTCAAGTAAAATCGTCTCTTAGGCGGTCTTGAATACGCTGGGGCATCCAGCAATGGATTAGTTCCTCAAAATATCTGTTAATCAGGCAAATGTTTGCTGGTTGGGAGATTTTGAAAAAATAATCTGTCCTCAGAAGGAAAATGTTGCTGGGAAATGGACAAATAAGGGTGTTTGAGAGGATTTGGTCTCTAGAATAGTTGGTATGTTCTATGGGCTATATGTCACAAACCTCTTGCGTGGGGTGAATTTTTTGTCCTACGACCACACACCCGAACTGGCCAGTAACGTCTGGACAATACGTCTGCTGGGAAACTTTCCAGTAAGTCAGGTTGCAGAATGTAGGTGCATCTCACTGGCTGGGAACTCTTCCATCAGTCTTGCTGGGAATGAGGGACAGATAAATTTTTCCCAGCAATCTCCCAAAATGCTTAAAATGGAGTCTGAAAGCTTTATTCACGCTTTGTTGTTTTTGGGTCTTTTTCTCGAAATTGTGAAAGGAAGACCGTGCAGGGTCTTTTTTTTACGTTTCTAACAAGGTGGAGTGGACTCTGTTTTCTTGCTGGGCTTTATGGGGTCTTTATGGGGAAGTAGAACCCGTGAACAATGGTACCTGATTAATTAGCCCGTCTAATTTCTACGTAATTGAATTATATGTCTGTCCGATCATTTTTTTAGAGGAAAAAATGTCTGTAGTATTTGTTAAATTACTTTGTGGTTTACTTTGTTAATGATCCTATGATCTTGCAGATTGACACTACTTTCGAAACTTATGACAAGTTTTTTAACTTGAACATTGATGTAAAGAAGAAGTATGCAAAGAGAACCGGAACGACTCTAAAGAATGGCTGGGATGAGCTTGAAAGCGAAAGGTATTCTTACTCTAATTATACTGATACCTCTACGGAAGAAAATTCTTTCAAATTGAACCTTTTAAAATGAGGAGTCTAAAAAGTACAGACCCAGGTGTCCGGCATTCAATTGTATATTTGCCTGGAAACAAGGCTACTTTGGGCAATAATGAACTCAGTTAAAGAAGTGGCGTTCACGTGCCCCCCGAAGACTAGCTGAACACAAGAAATGCAAGATTACGTTAAACACATTGCTTGATGTTTTTATCCTAAAATCGTGCTGAGAAAAAGGCCAAAAAAAAAAAATGAAGAAAGTCTGTAAGGAGGTAAGCTTGTAAAGAACTCAAAATATTTTGAATGAATAATAAAATAATTATTGGACTTGGCTCTCGAATGATACTCAGCTCATTCAATAATTGCTCTGTTTACATACAGTTTCCACAGAAACTGTAAAACATTATGCAGTCCTGTCGTGTGTCTGTAATGTCCGTAAAGTCCTCAATTAAGACAAGCGATAATTCTGAGGGCCAGAGGCAAAATACCGTATGATTCATTTCGTGAACAAGGAAAAATCTATTACGCTCAAGTCGTTGCTTGTCATTATATGAATTTCTATTTTCCAGTCACAAGAAATTTTGCAAAAAGGGTAACTGTGGTGATCCTGTGCTACATAAACATGACGGCAAAGTGTGACATGTTGCGCCAGAAAAATGAGCGCGGGGCCTGGCGTCGATAATGTCTTTTTTTTTTTGCTCGATGCGAGTAATTTTCCATTCTCTTTTCGACGCTAGTCTTCGGCGTGCTGCATGTATGACATGAAGGTGAACCGGGTAACTTAATACGTTAGATAAATGAGCGACATCTTTTCTTCCATGCAAGAAATCACTCTTTGTCCTCTTTATTTTCTTCGACAAAGCAGGTTACGTTTCATGCTTATATGACATATCAGGCCGATAAAATCGCAAGTGCCAACATACATCGTAGTCAGCAGTTACCGACACTGTACAACGACTTATTACATTTTTGAATCCGAAACGTTTACGCTTCTTTTTTTCTACGAAACATAGCCTAACCTGAGGAGTGAAATGTGAAAAATTAAACTGCAAACGGCCTAACTGACAGACGACCAATAACATCGCGACGTAACTAACCAATCAGGTCAATAACCAGAGTTTAAAACCATCAACTGACGTGATACAACTCACTTTAACTCTGAAGATGACTACCGCAGAGGTTGTCGAAACGTCAGTCACTGTCAACAACACTTCTATTCAGGACCAGACGACCATGCTCAATCTACTTATGAAATGACTCCTGCAACTGGGCACAGTTCCTTGTTCGAAGGCCGATTAGCGCTAACCCTGGGTAAAACTTTAACACAGGTTTCTATTTCTTTTGTTCAAAAGCATTTTTCAGGATAATTTTCTCGATTCTTGTTAGAGCATCAAATCATTAAATTATGGACAAAAAGAATCAAACTTAATTTTCCTTTTAAAGCCTTCATATCTGAATTGAAATTTTGCACTGACCCTAGGTTATCTTAACCCTTCTTTGACCAACCCAACCCAGGGTGCAAACCTTTTACAGATTCAGACATAACTAAAAATGTAAGCAAATGCTCTCTAGAGAGAGCTTTTTTCCAATAACTAATATGACTTCACCGAACCTGTGTGCCAAATTGCAGAGGAACCAGCAATATGAAAAGACCTGCGGACCTCAAGGAATCGTTTGATTTCTGCGGACTGGAAGATGAAAATTATGTAAGTGTCAGTCATTGTTTTACGATCAAGATAAAAGTTTTTAGGCAGCGCCTCGGAAACTCTGCGAGAAACCACTTAGAAACACGATTTGAACCAACCCGCATCTGCGACATACAACTGACCCGTTAAGGTGGCAGAACACAGTTTTGGCAGTTTGTGAGTATATGTCATTTACCAAATCATGGCAAGAAAAAGATTGCAGCTCACAAACTAAAACATGGCAAGTGAATAATGTACTGATGAGAGAGTTTGGTTGACAGGGAAATTTGACGTTTCGTAGTTTCCATGGCAACATGAACGATTGAATACAACTTTAAAATTTCACTTTTGCTCAGTTTACATGAAATTCGCTCATTAGATTTTCCTATAAATATACACACAGCTTGCTATGATTAATCATTACCATTAAAAACTATTTGACCAAATTTTAACAGATGAGTTTTTAGATAATCAATAATATAATTGTTCTGTAATTATTAAATGTGTCACAAAATTCGTCTGTTCAACTTCCATTTTAAAGTTCTCATCGTTTAAAATACGATAAAAGTAAAAATTCTGCCAAATGAGTAGATTTTGAGAAATCGTCTTCTGTGTACCATTGTTTTTTTCGCCGCCATGTTTGTTTGTCTAATTTAAAACACGCGCCGTTACGCGAGTTACCGCTGACCGCCCGCAAAACTGTGTTCAGCCATCTTAATTTTAGTTTCAACGGGGTTGTGTTCCAGTGATAGAGGATTTTCAGCACTCTTAAGAAAAATCTCCATTGCTTAGTTACCTTATTCTATGTTCAAAATCGCATTCCTTTTTCTCTCAAACTGAACTACCATGTAATTAAGTCGTTTTCCAGTGAAACCAAAATCTGATGGGCGAGGGTTTTTTGAATGATCACAAAGATCTTGTTCGCAGACTCTCGGCAAACTGACGTCATTTAGTCATAAGTTACTTGTGCATTTGTCTGACAGGAGTAATTATTAATTCTCAATTTCTGCCTGGCTCTGATTTGCCGTACAGAAGTTACACTAACGTTTATGTAGCATTCTCAATAATCGGTACTCACTTGTCATTTTGCAGACTTGGCCCAATGAGGAAGTCCCAAACTTTCAAGGTACTGTCCAAACCTTTTACGAGGACACAACAAACCTTGCTTTAAGGATGATGTCTGTCATAGCCATAAGCCTTGATCTGGTACGATCGATTTTATAGTTGTTAGTATTATGATCTTATGAGCGAAAGGAGTTGGGTATTTAAAATGTAATTCAGTCCAAAGGTCTCAGTATAAGAAAGGGGAACAATCTTAAATTTCACTAAAGTGTGTAAGACACGTGAAGTTTCGTTTTTATGGCCATTACCTTTAAAACACTTCTCTGTAACAGACCCAGTGGAACCCTACCTGGTGGCCTTCGATTCAAGTCTACCCAGTGAAAATTTAGCCTCCCCGATAAGCTCCGATACACGGAGAATAGTTTGATTCTACCCGGCAGATTTTTTGCGTCCCCGGTCACTTTCTATCATTGCTTTTACAAGACCAGTGTATTTCGTTGTTCTTATTTGTTTAAAAAAAGCAAAAAGATAAAACATTATTACCATGGACAAAAACAAACTACGGAGGTTGCAGGTAATAAATCTCGCATAAAAAGTGTAAATAGTTTAGCTCTTCTCGCTACAGCAATATGTAAAAGGTGTTCAACATTTTCATGCTGGTAAAGATGTATGGCCTACCACCCCTTTCCGTTTTTATGGGAAGTACACAACTAAGAGGAAAAACCCAGTGGAAAATTATTTAACTGTAAGCCCGTGCTCTAGTCTCAAGACAGCTATTGGTTTGTTTTAATGCTATGTTATTTTTCTTTATGCATACTTTTCAAATGATGCAAAAACATTCTTCGGCCTTACCTTTTTGTTTTCTCATCCAGGATCCAGACACGTTTGACTTTGCTTGGCAAAAGATGGGCACCTCCGAAGGTGGTACTCAGTTAAGATACAACTATTACCCAATGATATCAGACCTAAGTAAAATCAAGCCAGGTCAGATTCGCTGTGGGGAACACACAGATTATGGTGGGATTACACTGCTGTTTCAAGACGATGTTGGTGGACTGCAGGTTAGAGATAGAGAAACCTAGCTTTGATACTATCCGCATTACGTTTTATGCTAGAAATGCGTTTATCGCTAGGGTGTAAGGCGGCAGCACTGCAAATAAGGAGAAACAAGCCTATGGGTAAAAAAAATATATGGTTTTAAAAAAAAAACAACGGCCAAGTGTAAAAAAGATACCTTGGCCAGGAGTCACTACGCGACGTCATCACATATTTATTCTACCGGTGGACTCAATTTGAAGCTGGTGGAGCTGTATTTACCTTGAATTAAAAGATGTATTCGAGGCAAATGAGCAGGGAGTTGACGGTGAAAGCCGTAATTCAAAAACACTCCAGTTTCAACGCATTTGAAGAATATGTGGCCTTGGGAATTTCGACAAAATTATAAACTCGCTCTGCGAGAAATGCTTCTTGCCTTCCTATAAATGATATACACTCTTAAGCCCAGAAGGATTTTTCATATTGCTTCAAAATCGCCTCTTGTTTTATGCCAACATAGTTCAATAGCATGTATGTACGTTTGCTTCAGGTGATCAATAATGTTGATGGACAGTTTGTATCCGCCACGCCCATGAGAGGCGCAGTGTTAGTTTTCATTGCTGACTTGATGCAGAGATGGACATCAGACCGATACAAGTCTGTGGTGAGTTTAAAAGATAACACCGACCTTGATCCCTTGATCAAAAACATTACCACGATCCATGATCGGTTAATAATATTTAGTAAAATCCAACTAGTGGTCTATTATCAATCCTGCGTTCTGATTGGTTGAGCTACTACTAGGCTATATGTTATAGCCCACTAGTAGCGAAAAGCGCCTGCTTTGAAAACCAAAGCAATGACGGATGAATGGCCTTTTGCTAGCTAAAGTTGTTCTGTCTCGATATTTTTGACCAACTAGTTGGATTTTACTGAATCAATTATTCCTCGAACCCTCATGGGCTTTAAGTCAGTAGCCTATGAGGCCGAAGGCCGAAGGCCGAATGGGCGGGCTATTGACTCAGAGCCCATTCGGGCTCTAGGAATAATTGTTAAAGAGCCTTTTCACTCACGTGCCCTGCGGCTATTCAAATTTAGTATATACTAAAACAGTGGATAGTGTTTTTCGATTGCTCTGATTGGCTACTCAAAGTCGGGATATCCAGTGCTATTCACTGATTCACCCCTCAGCTCCTCCGAGCGAGCGACGCCGGCGCGTAATGGTTTCCCGGTTTACCGCCGTAACAAACGGAGAAATTTCACAATTAATCAAACACGCTGTTCCCGAAATTCACGAATAATGTGACGAAATTTGGTTTGGAAGCTTAAACAGGCGAAGCTTTGTCTGTTTTACTCGAAATTATCGATAAAACCAAAGAAAAAGTTTTTTGTTTACAAATGCAAATTAAGTCTTATGTTACTTTATTTAGCTGACATGTTCATGCATGAAGCTTAAAACTAAACTTAATAGTTTCTTACAGAATGGTTTCAAATACAAAAACAATTCATAACTCCATTTGAAGAAATCTCTCCTCAATAGCTAAACAAATGCCTTCGTAAGTTTTATTTGTCGGCAAGAAAACGCGACGGCCGTTTGGTCATTTAGCGCCAAAATTGTAATCGTTGGCAGCAGTCAGAATGAGTTAAAAACCATCATTTTTTTTTTGCTCAATTATATCACTGTTTTAGTATGTACCAAAACAATTATCGCGGCTCGGTAAATATCTCCCCCACTCGCAACCCCCACTTCAGTGAATCATTGTTATTTGTTGGCACAAAAAAAGTTTTTACAGAAGAAAAAGGTCTATTTCCCACAGGAATGGTTCAGCTGTTGGTTTGGGACACCAACGTGGCCGCCGTTTCATTTTCTTGGGACACCAAAAATAGCCGACGTAAGGTCGAGTGAAAACAATCTATCCACGTAATAGACGTGAACTTTGGTGCCTAATTCATCCCACCAAGCAGCTTTAACAATCTGATCGAATATCCCGTTATGCCAGTAGTGTTTTGTTCGCGTATTTACGAACGGCTAAATTTCAAAAACGCTTTCGATAAGCGGCGCCCAGAAACGCCTTAAACGCCTCAACGGAGTTTTAATAATATGTGAAGACACTTGCATTGTTGAAACTTAACTTCCCACCTTTGATTCTTTTATTTTGCAAATTGTTCAGTAGCTAGTGTGTTTTAATCTACTTTTTTTTTCTTTCATAAAACAGGTTCATCGAGTGCTGATCCCTGAGGAGGAAATCAAACGAAGAGTTCCTCGCCGATCGTTGGCTTTGTTTCATGACCCGGATGATGACACTATGGTCACGTGCCTGGATGGATCTAACCAATATCCACCAATCATAGCGAAGGATTGGGTTTATTACAAACGGCATTTATCTTACAATGCAAATCAGCAGCAATGGCGTTAAGACGATAGCAAGGATGACTTACAATGCCTCAGATCGATAGAACAATCGTTTTTATCGTTATAATCAACATAACAATCGTTATAATCGTTATAATTAACATAGTACACCTCCTGGGGGGGGGGGCTCTGGATTTCAAGTGACGGGGATTATCAAATGGGGGCAAAAATCAAAACCCAAAATAATCCCTAAGGCTTTTAACAAAACCCCCAAAAATTCCTGGAGCAAAGATTAACACCCCCCAAGAATCCCATGCCGAATTTCCGAGCCTTAATAACTTCCAGAAAGCATTAAATGATATAACACAAAAAGTAAAGCTTTCAAGTTTGGTTGTACTTTATTCGCAGAACTACGCGGCCAGAATACGCGGGCACTAACACGAATCCTCAGATTGTTTTGAATACCCCAAAGAAATCCCTACCAAGAGCCATAATGGCTCTTGTCCCTACCTAAATCAAGTTGCCCCCAAAAAAATACTTGAAAAAATTTCCTACCAAAAAAAATCCCGGAATCGAAATTTCAAACCCCAAAACTCGTTCTATTATCTCCATCACTTGAAATCAAAAGTACTGTACAGTACCGCAAATGATCCCCGATCGTAAATGATCCCCTGGCCGCAAATGATCCCCAAAATGGACCTCAAATGATCCTCGATCGCAAATGATCCGGAGAGGAAAATCAGAATGGCCTGGAATCAAGTTACTGGATCATCCTGTCACGTTTATTATCGCCAAAAAAAAAATAAAGTATTTATTAAACTGAATACATTTAAAACATAAATGCCAAATAAATGCCAAGACTGAAATTAAAAAGAAGCCGTAAAACTACATTTAAAACTTAGTTCAATAAATAAAACACAAATAAATGCAAACAAGAAAAAAAAACTTAAATACTATCAGTAAAACAATAGCTCTTGAACAGCAACGCAGTGTGTCTTGCTTAATTGTATGTTAACATTAAAGCTTCACTGAACTAAACTTCACATTCTATAGTTCAATTAGACACAATATTCCTCAAAATCCTATCTATCGGATACCTCGTATCAACTTGAGAAAATGATAACTTTTGTAACGGCGAAAGTCTCTGAAAACGCCCCCAAATAAAAGTTCGCTCTAGTACAACCCCATTAGAAGAATTCTTTGCTCACAGACACAAAATTTTCCAATTAATCGTTCCCTCTAATTTTCGCTTTCCCTGATTTTGTCAGCTGTTTCTGTCTCCAGCAGTAAAGGCACGTAAATGAATTCATAGGTTTGCGCCGACAGGGTCCTTAACACTAGACGCGACATTTTCACGATCTGTAATTGTTAACTAAAGTGTATTTTGAAATGAACCGAAAACGTCCACAGAGTGATAAATACAGTGTTCATATTTCCCTGTTCCTAGGCATTAAAATGAAAGACAAGTTTCCTTCCTCCAGTCCTAAATTTTCACAGCAACGAAACATCATAGTTTTTCTTAATTTCTTAATTCTTATATTCTTTTTTTTCATTTTTAATTAATTAAATAATTTTTTTTAACTTATTTTAGTATCCCCACTTAGTGATTATACACCGCTATTACAGTTTTGACACAAGGTATCATCATCATCATCATCATCATCAAATGCATGAAAGAAACTGGAGAAAAAAATTACCAAAAGAAAAAGTTCGGTTATTTATAGTATTATTTATTTCATTGTTCTACGCGTTGTTCAAGTTCTCAGTACACTCAATATCCATGCCTAAAATCCATTCCATTCCTCTAATTTCACCGGATCACTTGCGATCGACAATTGGGATCATTTGAGGTCTGGGGACCATTTACGGTATGAACGGTAGTTTAATAGTAGTCGCGTTAATTTCCAGCTCCTTCGATTCATTTCATGGAAGGTTAATTTCCGAAAATAGGGTAGCATGTATGCACTAGTATCATCAGGAACACGTAAACTTTGGTCCTCCGTTGTTTTGTAACGTCTTTTTGTGCATCAAGAGCGACAGAAAGGTAGTTCGAGAATAAAAAAAATACAACACAAACACACGCTGTCACTTTTTATTGTGAATCTTTATAAGAGCTGGTGCGTGTTTTCTTTACTCCATACATTCTCTTTTAAAATTCAACTGTAAACGAACTCTCTATAGAGTCAGGGCTGCTTTTGTTTTGTTTACATTTTTAACCCCCTAAAGCCCCAATATCCACATGCAAATTCTCCAAACTGATCTCTATACATTTCCTTAAAGAATGAGTTGATAGAATTTGATAAAAGATCAAATCATTGTCTCTTAGGTGATCATTTCATTAATACTCATAACCTAATCTCTTGACATTGTATGGATATTGTTAGGGGAAAATTGATGTTAGTCACTATTGGGACTTAAAGGGTTAAGCTTATGTACATCTCATGAGAACACACTATGCCGTGAAAACAAGCCTTGTAGCAGTCTATGTAGCAGTCTCTTTCACTTAAAATTCAGTTGTATTTCACCAAAAAGAAGTCTTTTATTCTGTAGTTTGTTGTTATTTCTCCATTATTTTCTTCGCTGCATCACGGCCATTTAAAAAATGTCTTGTTACGGCTTATGAGGGCCAGAAACAGCTTTCTAAGGATCCCGTGGTTCTTTCCCTTTACCAGAACTTGATAGCCAGTTCGTGTCTGTTTCGCTCGTATACAGAGCTTTTCGTGGTGCTCGTCTGCTTTGAACGTACTGCATATGTATGTTCAAGAGAGATTATTCTCTCTTGGGACGCTAAAGCAGAAGTTTCAAAAAATTGAGAAAAACGCATGCGCGTCTGCATTTAACAACTACCACGCAACCATAATACACCTAAAACAATTCATTACATATTTTCTGTTTTATTTTTTTATTAATTTTTAACCATGAATACTTCTGAATTCGATCATTAGTAGAGGTGAGAAATGACACGGAGTCTGCATGAATCATTGTCGAAGGTTCAAGGTCGAGAAATAAAGCTTGATTTTCCAAACTTATGTAACCTTTTCCATCGACTTTCCAAATTTATATAATGATTATTTGCTCGCCAGTGTTATTGATTCATTTCTTTTGTTATTTTGGTAAACGAAGGCGATTTCTCCTGCCCGCGGGCGCTTACGCGTTTCTCACCTCTTCTGTTCATGTTCCTTTGGATACTGTTTTTAACCAAATATGATAAAATAATGTGATAAAATGGTTATCGTTGCTCAAAAAGAGGTTAATTTTCTGTAAAAGATCGAGGATCGAATGAAACACAAGGCAAGGTTAAAACGGATTTCCAGATGTATCCGGCGGGTACATTTGATTAACGCTTTTCAGACTGGCAAAAGTAACCGAATGGTTGCACATTTTACTGCGATGATCATGTTCACTTTCATACCTTCATCCGCAGTTCAAAACAATTTATGAATCATTTCATATATTTCAATTCGTGCTTACAAGATCTCCATAATTTTATGTAAACGCAACCTTTTTATGGGACCTTCATTCAAGGCCAGAACTAACACTAACCGCCAAACGGAAACTGCCTCATGCGAAAACTTTTAAAATTGACGCGTTAGTTTTAAAGGCCTCACTGGATCTGGATGGAGTTAACTTCAAATGTAAGCGAAACACTTGCAATATTTGAAAGAGCACTTGAGCAACACGATACAATACTGGGAACTAAATACTTGAACAATGTCTTAAAAATAAAGCTATTTTTTATTTCCCTCTGAGACACCTGGAGAATAAAATTCTCACAGAGCCACAGCCTAAAAAGGCTAAGCTGCTCTGTTGCATCCGGAAGGCCAAACTGTTTTACTTAATGCTGGACATGCACTATCTTAGGATTAGTTTTGTTTGTAAAATTAAAGGCTGGTCATCACCATCTTCTCTCAACAACACTACAATGCATTCAAGGAAGTTCTTAACAATTATACAGGGGCACCCAACGACAATTTTCGGAAAATATCTGTTCGGAAGACGATTTGATATCTAGAATTTTCGGAACATTTTTTGTAAAATTTCTTGCTTGCCTGCCGCTCCTAGGATTTTCGAACGTCTAAAAATGGTATAATTGACTATTTTTCAGGGATTTTTACCCTAAAAAGGTCACCTGGAATTTTCGGGAGCCTTTTTTCTGGCTGGAATTTTCGAACAGGTAAGTTTTGATCCCTATAAATTTCGGATCACTAGACTTTCAGCTAGGAAATCCGAACAGATGAAAAATTTTTAGGGGATAAAAATATGCCTATATTTACCGTTTAAATACTTAAATACGTTTAACAATGCTATGTTTAAGTGGTTTTGAACTATATTCTCGTTGGGTGCCCCTGATTATACCATCTATTATTGCATCACAAGTTATGAATAACTTCGAGTACCTTTAAATCATCGCATAAGAAACAAAACTCGATTTCAATTAAAGCACAAATTCTCATCATTAAACTTAAAAAAAAAAAACAAATACAGACATTTCAAACTGAGATTCGAGTCACCGCAAAAACACAAACAAACCTAAAACTCACAACCACATGAGTTTGACCAAAGCTCAAAAGTGCAATTGCTTTGTTAACTAAAAATCTCTGATTCATGTGGTTACACTCCTCATACCCTTAAAACAATTAACTTCACAGATTTAATCAGTGTAAAAATATCCACTACGATCCACACTTAAAAACTGAACTGTGACTGAACTGAACTTTTTCAGTGCGATCAGGCTTAAGAAATAGTGATCTCCATCAACATTCTCCATGAACATTACACTTTCACACAATTAGCAGTTATTGAGAATTTATAAAATTATCGAGTGATCGGTGTCGACCATAACACGTTTTTGTGCTAAAATAATAATAAATATCCATTTGAAGATGACACAAAGGAACCCAAAATAGACTTACCCCGCTTCGGCTGATGTTTAGAAAATTGAAAAGGACTGAAGAGCATCACCGTACAGCTGAATCCAGTCAGCGACCCTCAAAAAATCATTTAAGCTTACATAATCAACAACTACATGAATGCCCGAGTTTCTGACTCGACGGTCATCCGCCA